TTTTTCATCTGTTCTACAGCATGTCTGCAAACTATATCAGACTAGTACCTTAGAAAACCTTTGAATTTCATGCTTATTTGTTTGTTGCTGTTTCTAAAATCTTCTTTTATTATTTTAATATTGTATTGAAAGCACTGTCTCAAAAGCAACACTCCTAATGCATACAGAAAATATTAAAAAATCTCAACAAAATTGCCCTCGCAGTGGCAAAGAAAATTGCAGTGAAAGACACATTATTGCATAGTCATATCAGAGGCTTGGATCTTTGGAGAGTCTCACTCCACTGTCCTCCAGCTTTTCCTTATAAACCAAAATGGCTTACAAATGTCATCCACAATAGTCCAATAAAGATTAGGAACAAAACACTGTCCTTACATTGATGAGATAAGAAAGATTTAACTGAAGAATGCAGTGTATAAGAACAGTTCATAAGGCTTGTTCTTGAATCAGAAAAATAGAATTTAAATTATATTTGTATGTGTCTAGAATTTAATTGAGATGATCAGTTTATTTTCTACATAATGTTTGGTCAGATGCCTGTACTACGGGGCTAGATTAAAGAAAAAGAAAGAAAACAAATTCTATCAGGGAAATCAAGAAGACCCATTATCTACAGGGTGTGCAAAATATGTCAGGAAATAATTCTACCCTGAGCACTGAGAATGCCCGGTTAATAAAAAAAGATCAGCCACTCGCTACGAGAAAATAATTGTCTGTATCTATATTTTTCAAAGCAAAAAGACAGTCACATCTTACACTAAATAGGACACATTAAAATAAGCTTTAATAATCTTTATGCAGAAGGAAACTAATCCATTTTCAGATCATACGATCCACAGCAATAAAAGGAAATCATCAAACTAAAAACAATTTTAGAAATGGCTGCAGACTCTCATTTAATTAACATGCAACAGATCATATATTTATGAGGAAGTCAAAATATTTAGGAATCCTATAATCCTGTAAGCCTTAATGTGGTATAAAAACAACAAATAAATGCAAAGTGTTACTGTTACACATGCCTGCCTGATCAATGGTTTTCACATATTGATCTATAAATGGAGTTGACAGTCTGTGTTGGCTGCACATTTTCCAAGCAGCGCTATTTTTGCACAAAACCAATACGGGCAATTACCTTTGTTTGAGATGCCAAGTCTTATCAATTCAATGTGATTTAGTGTCATTTTAATTAAATATCAGGATCCACTTCAGGACAATTTATACAAACAAAGCCTCATACCTAACTATAAGCTTGATTTGAAGGAAACATGGACAAGCCCTACAATCTCATAATATTTCTTAAAAACTCTACTAAACAGAAGGTTTATATTTTTAGTAGCATTTTTTATGTCTGCCTTTTGGCTAGCCACAACTTTGGCAAGTATCCTATCATCACAGAAGTAAGAAACAAAAGAAAATTGTTTCCTCTTTTTTTCTGATAATATATTTAAAAAGTGAACAAACATAGTCTGCTAATGGAAGTAAAAGGAATCTTGTATGTTAATGTTTAAAAATGGCTCCACCTAAGTCTTTATCTGAACACCAATAAAAAAATATTTTCCTGTTCCTGATGGCCATGAATGAAGTAATGCCCTTCTATGGGGTTTACAAGATGGAAACGGTGAATATTCATACATGTTGCTGCTTAAGACACTAGCATTAAATGTTGAAACTACTCTTGCCTGCAAGTCATATGTCTGCAGTTTCCTGATTCTGGCTACTTAAACTCCTCATTAATATCTATTCTAAACTGTGTCTTAGGCAGGAGCATCCTTCTTATAAATAACATCAAAACCACATTAAACCTTTTGCAATAGCTATTTGCTGGATTGCACATTCGCCTTTTTAGCCCTTAAACAGGCACAGTTCACTTGCCCCTATCTACTGGCACTCAGCTGTCTGATTTTCTGTTTAACACATTCTGGTTAATAAGCTGTCTACTTTTAAGAGGTCTCACTCTGGTGCTCAGGACAGGACAACAAATCACTGCGACCAAAGACTGTTCCTTCCCCACCAAAGGGAGCTCTCCAGATCTCTCTTAAAAAGGGTGATTTTCTCACAAACTACTTCCCCTTCTCGAAACTGCCTACCTCTCCAACATTTCCCAGGTCAGAAAAGTACCCTCTCTGAATTTTGAAAAGGCATTGATTATATTAACCAAATTTTAGATGATCATTTGATGTCTAAAGAAAGAGATGCACACCACCAATAAAATACTAATGGAGCATTCATACCTGTTTTACTGAAATGCTTCCCTGCACATTTAAGTTATCAAAATTTCTAATTTAACCAGTAAATTTGCCTATGTTTGCATAGCTTAGGGTTGGATAAATGTTTCTATTGACATTTCAAAGTATTCCTTGATTTAAGACACTAAGAATCTAAGCTTTTACGACATACATAGGAGAATTTTGTATTGTGTTCTAAGTTAAGAGTCATATTAAAAACATTTTAACCGAACAAAATTTAAGAGAGGAATTTATGAGTTCATGAGAATTGATTAGACCTTAGAATATTTTTATCATTTTTGTAATGAATTAAATCATGATGAATGTAATAGCAAATCCTTGTGTTATTATATAGTCCAGTAAGTCATATGAGATTTGCATAATTGTTATACTAGTGAACAAGTAGTATGCATATGCCATATATATTAAGTAGGGTACATGACATATGTATGATCTCTAAATACTTTTAATTTTTTTCTGTAAAGACTATATACAGATACCTCTGTTAAAACAAACTCTACTGCATGTGAATATGTGCACACATGTCTAGTATCCACCTTTCCCCCTGCTAAATTCAAAATCTCCCCCTTGACCTCACCCCACCACCCAACTTCTGAAAAATCAGGTTCTTAGTTTAGCTTGAGCAGATAACTTTAACAGGCTTGTTTGAATAAATATGCCAAAATACTTTACATTCTGTCAGTATCTAGTCAGAAATTTGTGCATGGAAAAAAGAGATGAAAAGAACTGAGACAGAAAGAAAATTAGTGCCATGGCAAGCTTTCAATACAGTATCTCTGAGCCAAGTTTTCTCGGTGAAATGACACATCCTCACTAAAATACCCCTTTTATATAATTATGCACTGAGCACACATAACCAAAAGTAACTTTTATTTTTGTTCCTTATCGAGGAATACATATTGCCCAGGCTAAGAATGCGGAAACAAAAGCTGGGATAATTATAGCTAATTTAACTTTGGAAAACTCTTATTCTCTAGCAGTCCAGCATACAACCCCCCAAACTAAAGTTATGTAACAAGGTAATATCAACAATGAGAAACTGCATGATAAAATCCTGCCCAAAAGTGAAAAATGCTAATTTTGTCTCATTTAGCAGCTGGATACAGAAATGCTCATTAGTTTTAAGAGGGTTAATCCTTTTAACTTTTGCATATTGATATGCCAATTATGCCTAATTGTACAAGAGGCATCAGTCAAGGTAATAGTGCATAAACACATGAAAGTTATTAAGTACATCCCAACATGTAATAAAGTAGGTGTTAATTGGTAGCTGAGTTCTGCGGGCTATTGAGGTGGATAATTCATTGAGAGATGGATCACTTGTAATTTCTCTCCATAATTCCTTTTGCAGTCTCATGCTGTGATGTTTTCATGCTTGTCAAAAACAACTGCGGCATAGTGCCTTTTGTTAAACACGGCCAATAAAATATGTTAGGCATCATTAAATATACTTAACTTTTAAACTTTTTCGAAGGTACAGTTCTTACCGATAATACATTATAGAGATTCCAATAATTTAACCACTGTCTCAAGTTCATAGTTGATGAACATTTTAGCTGCTTTAAAAGCAAAGTCAGGCTGGCAGCATTGTACCTCCCAGGAGACAATACTTTTAAATGAGAAAGTAAATAAAGGAAAATGCATATCTCATTAGTTACTTTATCTAAGGATGTACTTCTTACTCCCCAAATATAATTGCTGGATTCCTCATGCTAAATTTGTCTACAACATCTGAGTAAAGAATGATTACAATCACGTTTCTCAAGCTCCTGAGATTGCTGTGGGTTAATTTTTTGAGTGAAAAATGGGGAATAAATATAATCAGTAACATGCTACTCAGCAAGTTTATCTCATTTAATAACTCAGTTAGGAAGCTGAATATTTCATAGGCCCCTATGATATTAACAGAACACTCAATTAATAGCTCACATGTTTCTGCAGGGTGACTGGAACTCAGCCTGTCCCCAGCTAACTTATTTCTCCTCACTCTTGCTCTCACTGTGAGAAACAAAATAGATCTAGGGTCCAAAAGAGTGGCTAACATTGCATAAATAATTTTGTAACATCCTATGGCCTCAGCTGCAAGTTACCACCATTATGGAAGAAAATTAACCAGAGGAGACCCATCGCAATCAGTGGGTTTAGTGGCTCAGGATGCGTGCAGGGCCAGCGACACAATTGGCAGTAGAGTTCATCTCTAACTATTTTATTTCAAATCTTCCTAATGACACATTATCGAGACAAAATGGCTTCCTCTCCAAACCTTAAATAGCCACACCATTTCAATCCTGTAAGCCCACTCCAAATCAAATCGTACTTTCCAGTAACATATATTATTGGGAGATTTTAAGGAGGAGATTTTCACTTTTTTTTTCTCTCAATTCATTCTTAGCTAATTTTAGCCTCTGGCTTTTCAAAGTGATGTACTGTATTTGGAAGTACAAACACCACATGCTAGCATAACCTCATTATTTTTATGACACTGAAGCATGATAGTAGAGGCCCTTAAAATGAGTCAAAGGTGCTCTTCAGTCTAGCTCCAAATCCACTTTATCACTCTGGATTAAGCCCAGCTCTTCTCTTGCAACTGGGGATATTATTATGACTATAAGTAGGCAAGATAAAATGCATTCCAAAAACAGTTTTCTCATGCACATTAGGCAAACAAATACAACAAGACTAACTAGCTTTTTTTCTTTTACAAAATTCTGCATGACAGAAAACTTGGGATATTTGGGGTATTTGACTTACGGGTTCAGTGACCTTCCCAACATCGGTGAGGATCATGGATTTACTTTGGCTGAGCCTGTCATGGTGGCTGTTGGCATTTTTGATTCTCATTTGTATAGCTCCTGTGCCTTGGCGGGTAGAATTCAGTGTTTCCACAGAAGTATCAGAATTTGTAGATTTCTGCATATTCTAGTGCTATCCTGATAAAATATAAAATATATTATGTTATACTAAACATATGCTTTTCCATGAGAAACTTTTGATGGAGTGTCCCTATTAATCATTAGGATATTAAAAGTTGATAAACAAGAGTCTTCAACTCTCTGAGTAGTGAATAAAAAATTAGTGATTTTGTAAGTATTTTGTCAGTTGGGACCTTTATATGTGGATAGTACTATACATAACACAGGACTTCAGAAGTTTATAGGTAGCACAACCATCAATGTGTATATCTTAATTCCATTAAGAAATTCCTCCAGGCAATGAGATACAGTCTTTCTTACATAGAAATGATGTTGCCAACCAATGATCTTTAGGATATATGCTTTTTTTATCCACAACTTCACTGGTCTATTACCTACTTTACCCCTACATGCTACCATTAGCACCCTCTCTTGGTGAACAAAAATCTTTATGAATAAGGTCAAATTTAAGCGAGTAAAATTGGTGTCAGAGCAAAACAGACCCCAGAGCCCCTACCTCCACTCACAATATCCACAGGGGGAAATTAAAATTCCTTCATCCACTGCCATCTGCCAACTGAACTAGATTTGCTAACTTAGTTGGACATCATATTTATAAAGGATATGAAGAAAAAGAAAATCAGCACCATTTATTTTAATAGAAGGAGTCTGATTTAGGCAAGAAAGTTTAGTATGGGCACACTTTAAAGGAGCAGCAATGAGAAAAATAGAATTTAGAGGAAGAAAACGAAAAGAACTAAACTGTGGCAGCATCAGAGGGTGAACTGGGAGAGTTTTAACTGAGCCCCTCATCCATACATAATCCTCTTCAAATGCCCCTCCCCAAAAGTCCCTCAAGTGAACACAACATCTCTTTACAAACAGAATGGTTGCAATACAAACACATCTTCTCATTTTCTGGAAACAGCCCTCTTCTTGCCTGATTCTCGTCTCCAAGTCTTACCTAATAGACCTCCCAAGGAGGGCACCGAGCAGGTGTGTACACTGAACAATACTGTGACTAGTCTGTTATGAGAGCGAATATAACCCTAAAGAAGAATCATGTTTTAAGGAGCCAAGGGTATAGCTACCCCGATGTTTGTTGGACAGACAATGAGGCTAGAATCATTCACTGTAATGGTCAAGCAGGCAGACATTAAGATGAATAGAAAAGGAAGCATTTTGATAGGAGAAAAAAATGTTACTTTACAATAAATACCATTATGCCAATTAAATGACAACTTACAAAAGAAGCTAATACTTAGTATCTACTATGTGCTAAGCCATGTGTTCAATGATTGAATCTACCAAAAATCCTATAAAATAGCCATTAAATCCATATTTTTATAGAGAAAAAAATTAGGATCAGAGAGACTCATAACTTTTCCAGTAAAACAGGCAGAAAGAGGTGGAGGAGCAGGTATTTTATTCCTAAGAGAAGACCCATACATCCATCAACAGTTGATTAGCTAGACAAATTTTAGTTTACGCAGTGAAAAAATAAACAATTAAAAAGAACAGACTATTGATGCATAAAACCACATTGATGAATTGGAAATTTTTTCTGCTGAGTGAAAGAAGCCAGTAAAAAGAGAAGAAGAAAGGGAAGAGGAGGAAGAGAAGGGGAAGGAGGAGGAGAAGAAAGAGGCATTTTTGTATAATTTCATTTACATAGTATTCTCAAAAATGCAAACTAATATATGCTGACAGAAAGCTGATCAGTAATTGCTTAGGGAAAGGATCGAAGCAAGTATGGATCACATTAGACAGGAGCAAACTTTTGGGGATGATGGATATGTCTATTACCTTGATTGTGGTGATGGTTTCATAGGCATTTACACATATATAAAAACAAACAAATTTATACATTAAACACTTGCACTTTGTGTTTCTTCAGTTATAACTCACAAAGATGCTTACAGAAAAGTTTTAGGAATTGCTTAGCCAATTTATTTTGCTCTTATTTTTTACTTTTTATGTGCTTACATGAGTAATGCATTATTCAAAATTATCCAATTGAGAGTGCAAGAGTTTTTTTTCAATAAGTATAAAAAAAATGTGAAATATGTATTAAGAATAAAATAATATATTTTTCTAAAAAATATTTTCTTCTCTGAATTCTCCTCTTAGTGCATTCAAGGATTGATCTTCCACATTTCTTAACAGATTCAGACTCTAAAGACAGTGTGTTTGTAATATTGGTGGGGGAAGTCACTCAGGCTGAAGCCACTCTCTTCTAGCCAAGAGCATCTAGCCACAGTATTTACATAGCTCAAACTTGCACCATTTATATGACATGTTGCTTCCTCAGAAGCTGCACAAATTTCAGTATCAAATCACAATTTGCATTCCTGTATTTCACAATCAAACCATGATTTTCCTAGTGATGTGCTACTGTCAAAAGGCTGGATTACAGCAAAGCCTTTTATCTGGCTTCCCCACCTCTGTTTTCATGGGACAGGCTGCAGAAAACATTTTTAAGATTTTCCTTCCTTGGATCTTTCCATCAGGCGGATCTCTCTACCCACCACAGTGTTAATGTTATTTTTCCTAATTTGCTCGCTGTCTCTCCTCCAGCGCTAGCTTCCTTTTCCATATGACCCCATCCTTACATTTTGTTAACACTACTTTGTTAACTACTCCGCTTGTTCTCTTTATTCTTTTTCCCATGCATTTTGTTCTGCAAGGTCATTCACTTGATGCTATTTCATAATTGTTTTTCTATGGTTAAATATTTGGGGATTTCTAATTTTGAAGAGCACTATATTGCTCTGGGGAGATAGAGTAAAATGACACAAAACCTCATCTTAAAGATTTCTATCAACAGAAAACATACATATATCCCTTCAATCTGGCACCATCTTGGAGACTAGAGATAATCTTTGTTTACCAAGTGTCCCAGAGTTTTGTGAGGGCAATAGAGAAAAAATAAATAATTAACTGAGACTAGGGCTGTGCCCAGGTAGGGAGAAAAGCAATGGCATTAAACTCAGGTGGAAGTGAGAGGTGGAGAGAGAGAAAGTCTGCAAGAAAAGATGAGATCATACCAGAGCTAAGTCAGCACAGGTTGGGCATTTCTGGCATAGGGTTCGGTAATGCGGGGATGTGCAGATACCTGGGATATTATAAGGTAGGTACTGAAATGTGTCATGAAGGAAACATAAGTAGGAGGGAAGTTCAAAGAAAGAAAGAAACAATGTATTTCATGGAGAAGGTGGTATTTGACTTCTCTGTGGGGATGTCTGATCATCTTGCTTACCTTTCATCTGGCAGAATGATTGACTGAGAGTCCCATTCCATCTAACCCAACCAGCACCAGAGGGATTGGTATTCTAGACACTCTGAGGGAGAGAATGTGGGTTGTCCTGGACTTAAATGGTTTTTGTGGATGAACTGAGAATGGAGACAAATTGAGAGGGAAGCAGGGCCCCTCTGCAGGACATAAGGAGGATGGTGGAGGATGGAAATCTGACAAGACAGTAATGACAGCTGCGTCAGTGGCTGTGGGACCTGTGACTGCAGTATATGTGGGTTCAGAGATTATTTCTTCTCATTCATCCCATTAGGGGCCTCTCATACCAAGCAGACAGTGATATTTCTAGGCCATATTTTGTAAGTTGTTTTGGGGTCCCACTTAGACCCCTTTCTTTATTCTCTTTCAACTCCCCATTTTCCTCCTGTCTACATCTTAACCACGATTTTTCCTCCATCAGACACCCTGTCATCCTTTTCATATTTCAGCTCCCAGAGCACCCACTGCAGCATTAACTTAGGTCTCATCCCAACTACAGAGTCAACATTTATAAAAATTTCCATCATCCATTCTTCCTTACCTATGAATCACTTAGATATGGGAGGGAATGATTAGACTAGCTAATACAATGTTATTAATAATTAGTCAGACTTTCCCTTAACTCCCAAGGAAGCATTTAACTGAATCTCAACCTGGAAACTCTTCTGGCTACATGAAAGAACTGTCTTCGAGTAGAAGAGCCTTGATCAATCCCCTCCATTTATGCCCTTATGTAAATTCAGAGAAGGTGGGATTTGTGACTGGGGATAGGACATTAGCATTGCATTCTATAAAATGGTGCCTCCTAGAGCTGTATGATGCAATGTCCCTGCCATGATGATCTTATTTTTTAGCCTTTATGAAATAAGATTCTAGGGAATAAACTCCATTGCAAAGCCTGTTCAACATCAGCTCAAAGGAAACCTTCACACTCCAGAGTCCATCTTGACTTGGCGTCCAGAACCTAGGTGTGGTTGTACTAGTACCACAATATCTGTATTAATTTCAGGGTGTTCTCTGAAAGAGAATGAGGAACTCCAGTTTTGTGAGTCTTTCTGCATTATTATTCCAAAACTATTCACAGGAATGTTAAATCATATTCTGTTCTTCCACCCATGTTTTCATTCTTCATTGACCCTCAGTTTTCTAGATTTAGTAGAGTAGATTACAAAATCAATAATATTTGCTTATGCTTATTTCTATGTAATTTAGTAACATCAGGCATGTTAACTACAGGTCATATTAAGTTGAGGTTTTGCTTGATCTATGTACCTCTTTGGTGTTCCCCTTGTTCTTCCTAGAACATGTCATCCACTTCTGTTATCATCATTGTTGTTACTATTAAATTGTGTTAGAGAAAACATTGATGCCTTGTATATTTATGTTCTTATAGGAGGCACACAGAGCACTGGTGAATAACTAATGAAAATATTGAAGAACTGGCTCCTTTTGCATGTGTTTGAGATATCCATGATTTTACTAAACTCTCCGAATAAATATCCCTGAGTTAGAAATTGAAATGTAAATTACTTGGGACTGGCTTCACTCTTTCTCTAGATGTCCTGATTTTACATGTACTAGCAGAAGAGCAAGAATACCTTGTGATATTGCACTAGTTCTACTTTCAATCTTGTTTGAAAACAGGAAGCAGTAATGAGAATGCACTTTATAAGAGCAACACAAACTCTAGCTCTGCTCAGGAAACCTGGTTCGTTGGTGTCCTGTA